ACGCGGAACATCCTGCCGGCTGCATCGCCCCTTACCATCAGTCCGTATTAAAAAAAACATTTAGGACAATGAATATGTCACTCATTGCTGAAGACTGCTATTAACAGAAGGTGAATATATCACACGCACTGTGATATATTCACCTTCTGTTAATAGCTATTTTTTTTATTGTTTATAAGTCGCTTACGAAACCATTTGCTATAACACCCTATTGTGTGCAAATAACGTCGCATATCTGACGAAAGTAAAACTTGACCGTATAAACTAGGGAGGGGCTGATAGAGGGTATATCATATCGATCCTTTGCTAAGTTGCGCTCGTAGTGTTTAAGAAAAAAAAAGTGTCAGTGTTTTCCTCAAGCACGTCGCGCGAGGGGAACTCGGCTGTAAATCTAGGGAAACGACAAAGTTACGCGGGAAAATATAATTTATAAGGACAACTTTTTAATTTTTCGATTAGAGCTTGTGTGCGCTCAAAAGTTTGACAATAGAATGATATTAATCAAATGTTGCCACGACAAACGGAAGTTTGCAGTTTATAGATATTTCCTGTATTTCACCATCAGTCTGAAGATGTCCAATACTGAACAAAAACCTACCTACCTCTTAGAACGCAAAAAATATTGTAAGTCTCGAAATCCGCCATGTGGTGGCGCGATGGACTATTACCCTTATTCTACCTGCATAGAGGAGGCCTTTGCCTAGCAGATGGACATGTGTAGGCTGTGACTTTACTTTTTTTATTCTGAAAAACTTACCAATGGATGAAAAAAGTTTCGAAATTAAGAAGAATATCTGAAATACAAAAAAAAAAACGAAACATTGTTCTAACAGTTTTGGTTTCTGAGTGACTCTTGTTATGTGAATAAGAATGCAGATAGGATTACGGTGTTCTTTCATTGATCTACGTCCCTGGATCTAAGGAATTTTTTTCCGTGTGACATTTTTAGGGTTCCGTACCTCAAAATGTAAAAAAGGAACACTTATAAGATCACTCTCTTGTGTCTGTCCGTGTGTCACCACCGATTTTCTCATGAACGGTTTGACCTACAAAGTTGAAATTGATACCAGATACTGAGTATATTCCCTCGCAGTCCCTATTAGGTGTATAAAAATCAAGGTCCCAAAAATCAAAGTCAACACGATAAAAATATTGGCAAATTTAGATTTTCGCGAAAACTTGTAAGTACCAAAATTTACCTTAATGTTCAACATTTTTTATTTATCGCAATTTTTCCTTGTGGTATGTATGTAAGACCTTGGTTTTAACCAAAATATGGTTATTCCCGTTGATTACAAAAATTTATTATTCCTGTAAATTCCCAAAAATTAAAAAAAAATGAAAATTTGGTACCATACATAGGTACATAGTTGACGCCAATTAAGATAGTCCTTCAAGATGTATGGGCGCCATACAAATACAATTACATGCCCAAATGTTACGGAACCATTCATGCGCTTGTCCGACTCGCACTTTGCCGGTTTTATTTCTTGATCGTTGTGAGTCTAAAATGAAATCAATCTTTTGACATAACAAACGCATGGTGTTCCAAAGATACGACCGACAAAAATGTCGAACGATATAAATGGGACTGGGAATTATTTCGTAATCGCTAGCGACACGGCAATTTTCGGCTGCCGTATTGTTAACTGCGGTGCCGAATGATGTGTTAATAAATCGGAAGCATGTCACGTCAACGATCGCCACTATTTTATCACTGCCCGCGATTTATGGACCCAGGGCTGGCACCTTAGAGAATAAAGGCCCATTTACACGATGCCATTTTCTTGTACATACAAGAGCAATAATTGAATGCAATAAATTGCGCGCAATAATTGTTTAGACCATTTGTTGTTTAGACCATGCAACTCATTTATTGCTTCAATTTAATTGTATATAACAGGCAAGAAACTTGCACCGTGTAAATGGGCCTTAAGATATAACTCAAATATCATCATTGCCTGCCTTTAGACTTAGACCTAGGTGGGGTCGGTTGAATCATGTTGTAAGCGGTTTTGCTTATGTTTTTACGACGGGCAGCCTGCTTAAGTTCAACCCTAGTTTTGAAAAAAACACCCAGATCGGGGACAATTATTTGTGGGTCACACAAATACTTATCCCGTGTGCGATCGATTACCACGACCCTCGAAGTTGAAGCCAATAGCCGGGCAAAGGCGCCATCGATATATAACTCAAATTTGACTTTTGTTTAACTAAACATCACGAGAAACTTACAGTAACTGCCTATGTATGTCCTACTGCTACGCAAAGGCCTCCTTTGTACAGAGGATATTAGGGCATAGTTCACCACGCGACATCACCGCGGGTTGTCCGACTTCACATGTCTTCGTTATTATTATTTCGAAAATATGCAGATTTCTTCACGTTGTTTTACTTCGACGCCGAGCATAATTCGTAAGTCAGCACTAAAAATCGCAATTAAAAATTTCATTGGTGGCGGCACCGCGGATTCGAACGCAGGATACTCTGGTATATAGAATCAAAAGCGAGTCTCTGATCTACCACGCCATAATTAAAGAAGTCAAAATCAAGTTCAAATTTTAATGGTATTGTTGGAATGATAGTGAATGCAGAGAAACGGAACGTTCAGTGAAAAGTGAAAAGAGTGAGTGAGCGAGAGTGATAACGTATGGCAAGTGTGAGCTGGGCGTAAAAACGGAAGACGTGTATTGAGTTTTGTTTAAAGAAGAAAAAAAGACGTATTTAGTAATTAAGAAAAAATTAAATAATTATTTGGAAGCTAAGATCATGTCCGCTAATTTTGAAATCCTTTCCCCGCGCCATTAAAATTGAAATAATATTACGTTATTATATGATATTGGATTTTAGCAGCCCTGATTTCGATTCCAATGCTGTTATAATTGACTTGATAATAATTGGTGACGCGAATCGATTTTAATTGATCGAGTTGTTTTATTGGCCGCTGCATATAATAGAGTTAGGGACCGATAAAAGGCGATGCCAAATATGATAAGAAATGCAATATGTGGGCTTTTATTGTCAAATTTGACTTATGATACTAGCACACCTGTTTAAAAAAAAATTAAAACATGATTAAACATTAAGCATAACAAAATTTTTGGTAATAATTGATTTTATCACTAATGTTTACAGTTTACCCCATAGCAGAGGCTATCTTGCTTATTCATATATATATTTAAAAATATGAAACAAAAATGAAATGAGCAATATTCGGAAATGTAAATATAACTTAAATTACAGGGACGGAATTTTTTTTAATAAGTTTTCCGTCAAGTGGATCTTTGGCACTTTGAAGAGTGAAAATTATTTTCTTCCTAATTTTTTTTCCGACAGCTTATTACCATAACCTTCATCGTGAATTATCAGATTCTATTTAATATCGTTGTTATTTCTTCTAAAAATGATGACATTAACGAAATTACGAAAGTAAAATGTTTGGAATTCTTACTAATCCTTACTAATATTATAAAGACGAAAGTTTTTATGTATAATACTACTGAATGGATTTTAATGAAACTTTACAATAATATAGCTTTTACATCTGAATAAAACACAGGCTATAATTTATATATATCTGTCTTTTTGTCTGAATTTTACGCCTTCAGCCTACTCTACGCAGACGTAGTCGCGGGCAGCAGCTAGTATTAAAAAGTAAAAGTTTGTATATACATACAAATATACATCCATACGGATGGATGTTTGTTACTCTTTCACGCAAAAACTACTGAAAACATTGTAATGAAACTTTACAATAATATAGTTTCTACATGAGAATAACACATAGGCTATAATTTTTAAAGATATTGTGTGAATTGACCAAAATATAGGTAATGATAAGTGTCAACTAACTAGGAAAAAATTCAGCCATTTGCGAGATATTCTGGTGGAAAATAAAAAACTCATTGTCTAATTTCCTTTGGCCGCGCAGGTGAAGCCGCGGTTAACAGCTAGTTTCAAATATTTCACAAAGTTGTTGCGATGCATGTATGCGATTCTTTTTGTATTTCTTCTCGAGTGTTTTATTTTGAGGTTACCTACTTTTACTCTGGTTTGCAAGGTTTTTTTGTTCCGTGGGGGTAACGCGAGAGGAGATAATTGGGTACCTATTTATTCAAGACCTTCCTTTCTGCCATGCATGTTCAGTATCATACTGCATTAAACTGCATTATGCTTTTTAGTTTTTACAAAGCAAAGCAGCGATGCTAGTGTGTGTGGGTATGTGTGTTAATTAATTATTTTTGTAATACTGAAATATTTCATGCCGATTTGCAGATTGAACATTTCAGGCCCCTCCCCATCATATTTTGACAAAATGTCTTTTATTTTTTATTTTAAATACATTAGATAATAATGCTGTTATTAAAGTTTCCTGTTGTAGTGCAGAGAAGAACTAACTAACTATGTATGCAGTTACTTTACTCGTGTGGCGATGATGATAATGGGGGAATAAGATTTAATTCGAATTGTGAACTAACCTTACACTATATATATTTCATACAAGATATGGAATCGTCACAAAGGGACGTCACTACAAACTGTGGTAGGACCACGCAACAATCTCAGCTGTTGCACGAATGAGCAGGTCCGTCCGGGGGAGTACCACGACCACACAGAAGACCGGGCGTGAAGTGGAAGTGTTCTATGTTTTGTATGTTGAGTGAGGTAACCGGAGCCCACCTTATTGAAAGATTGCAACGCGTCTGCAACCCTACGGGTGTTGAAAATGTCCAATGGGCGGTGGTTATCATTTATCAGGAATGACCAGCTCGCTTGCCACCTTCTCACAAAAAAAATAATAGTGCGTGGATTCCCTCCGCGCGGAAGAAGTGAAACTTCGAGTGCCACGCATTCACTCTCGCTCTGTCTCGTTTCTGTCTTTGTCGTTTAACGCAACAGTGCTTTCATACCCCCTCCATGGTAGCGTTAAACGTTTAACGCAACTTTGTTGGAAGTCGTATTAGAAGTTTCACTTCAAAAAATATCACTAAATGCATTCCATGTATTGTTGCAGCAACGGTCCAGTGGAGGGCGCGTATGGTTCGCAGCACAGTCCGGTGTCGCGCTCGGACGCTTCTACTGAGGACGCGGAGCTGACTGCCGCCCTCGCGCACCAGCACCACCTCGCCATGCAGGTCTTTCAGCAGTTCCAATGGATCCAAGAAAAATGTTTTTTTATGTGAAAAGTTGCCAAGCGAGCAGACGGTTCACTCGATGTGAAGTGAATACCGCCGCCCATGGACATCTGCTACAGCCGAGGGTTGCAGATGCCTTAACAACCTTTTGAAAATTGGGCTCCGGCCAACTCACTCACCAGACGAAACGCGAAAGTATTATACTTCCACTTTACGCCGGTCTTCTGTGAGGTCGTGATACATACCCGGACGGGCCTGCCCATTCGTGCAACGGCCGAGGCTGCTGCGTGGCCCTACCACCGTAATGTAACGAAACGTAATGTTTATTTGAACAAGACTAAAGCCTGGTTTCTGAAGCAATGATCATCGTGGATGTAAACTAATCAGCTGTGGCAAATGGCTTTTCAAATTTCATTTTTGTTGCCAAAAGGATTGTTAAACTCTTTGAATTGATCATTCTGATCATTAAGAAGATCATTCTGGTTTCAATGAGAAGATCATGTTCAGAAACCGGGCTTTAAGGTCTATCTTAAGGTGATCGAAGGCACAGATCACAGCGTGCAAAAATAAATTTTCTGCATCATATCGCAGATTTCTTATGTGGTTTGCCTGGTATACGATGACAAGGCACATTATGTTTTGGACCGAACAGAATTATTTTTCTTAAATTGTTTTTGCATATCGCATCTATATCTCTGTACAATATTAGTAATACGCTGTAGGTGTTTATCAACTATAACAAAAACCTTTTTTTCTTGTTATCATTTTATATATACATAGATTTTCGGTTCTTGCGCTTCTGAAGCTCGAGCCGAAACTTTAAGATCGCTAAATTTCACCACCCGAAAACATCATGACAACTTCAGTCTAATATCATAGTATTAATCGGTCATAATAATAATCGGTCAATTGGTAAACAAATCCTTTATACATTGTGAGATATCAATTACGACGTTTCATTCTGTGATTCGATAGCCATATATTTGTTTTTGTAGTGCCATTTTTGGGTTACCGCTATTAACTCTGTTATTCTAATAAGCACCTGGAGGATCGGTATTTTTTGGTGAAACGTGTATTTTGGAAATAAAAAAATAAAAAATAAAGAAAGCAATGATCTGGTATAGAAAAAAAAGTAAAAAAAATACCTAAGTGTGTAAATGATCGTGACACGAACCACGACCTTCTGTTTCGGGGCCGCCAGATTACCGACAGAGCTATTATAAAATTTTTTTTTGGCGAAATTTTCCTTCATATTCGAATGATATTTTTCTTTCTCTGAAAACAGGGATAAAAGGACATTTTCTAAAAATAAAACCAAGCTAGATCGATTTTTCGCCATACTAAATTTCATGAAAATCGCTGAAGCCGTTTCCGAAATTCCGATTACATATATATAAGAATTGCTCGTTTAAAAGTATTAGATATTGCAGTTACACCTTTCACCAAATACGTACTTATAATTTATAATTTGAAAATTTGTACAGATATCGGCCGCTTAGTTCAGTCCTTAGAGCGTCGTTACTCGGTAGTTGCAGGTTTCAACCCCGCAGCATCGAAAATTTACACAATTTATCTACACAAAAAATGTACTTATGTAACTCTTACAACTAAACGAATCTAAAGATATCTCATATTTTAATTCATCCGCTTAGGCTACAGAGTGTGCCTAATAAATAAACAATGTGTCCCTACATAAGTACAAATGTATATGTTGTGCTTGTCAAAAGTGTTTATAACCCTTGAAAAAAATTACCCTCTCTCTGGAGCAGTAGGGTATGAAAAATAACATGATAAATGTTGTTTATATCATAATATAGATGCGTATATAAAAGTACATCAGGTTCGAGTGACCTAATGTTTGTATTTACTGAACAAGCTTCAACTGGTAAATATTTAATTTTGTACACAGTACACTGGTTTCTCTGAACTTTTCGGAAAAAAAAAATCCGTTAGTTCGATACAGAACCCTTTGGTTTTAAGGTTTTTACGTTAGCGATTTGTCCGGCAGGCGAGACGGAGTGAAGAGAAAAGGCGATTGTCAACACTGCAGACCATTTGTTGCTCGCTCGGGGTTGTAACTTAAATTAGAGTGACTTAAATTCAATTCTTCACCTAACAGATTGTCGATTGCTCCAGACAGTTTGTTCAGTTTGGTCGTAATTGTATCAGAGCTAACGAGCTGTCGTTCCCTGATTTGATACGTCAATCAATTTGAAGATTGAGTAGTCTGTTTTTGCCCCTTACGTGTGTCGGTGGCGCAGATGCTGAGCCATTGGCTTCGGCGCTGGGGTTTTGGGTTCGATTCCCACGCGGGACAAGTGTTTGTTTCTCAATTATAACAGTTTCGGGTGGTTGTTCGTTGTTAGAAGGGTTGACGTAGCACAGCCGGCCGGTCGGAAATACCTTGCTAAATATTATTGCAATTTTAAACAAAATTAATATTACAATATGATTTACATGTTTCAGGAGAAAGAAGAAGAAGCTTACGTGTATTGTTAAAAGTAATTTAGGTTCTCTAAAGTATAACTTTTGTTTTTACACCATCTTGAAAATCTTCTGAAGCACCTATTACCTATCCATAAAACCAATTTTCGTATCGTCGTCAATATTTGATTCTTTATGTAAATATACGACGACTCAGAAATTTTAATTAAGATTATTCAGGATAAACTACTTTTTTTTTCAACGAAAGGTTAGGCAATTTAGCCGTAATAAGCACGGAGCATGGGAAAGAAGGTCAAGCAAAGTTTGATTCTTATTTTCCTAACTTCTCAGTTCTTTAATATTAATAAAGGAGCTCAAATGAAATTCCTTTGTTATATTTTTCTTTGTTTTACTTTTCGTTTCTACTTTTTGTGAATTTAATAAGCGAATGCTAATTTTTAATGTTCGAACAAATAGTTTATGATTTTTGTTTCATCCATACGGGGTGGACAGTAATATTTAGTGTTTAGACAGTAGATTGTAGTATTAGCATGTGGCAATCTTTGAAGGATTAGAAAATCCTAAAGTTTTAACAAAGAAACATTTTCGCAACAGAATGAATAATGGTTTTTCGGATGTCGCACGAATTGGATTTGTCCGGTGTCGCGCTGCATCCGGAAACGTCGCTTAAGCGTGACATCGGATGAAAGTAGGGGAGACACGGTAAGAGCTCTGTTTGCGCAAACACATATATGTATACACGTATGTATACGTAGCTCAGAAGGCTGAAAATAAATAGTAGAGGGCTCGCAGTAATCGTTTTTCTCTAGCACCTGCTCCAGTTTACAATTCAGAAAACGAATAAAAAAATGAAAAAAAATTAATTGGATTAGTTTAGATTAAACTCAGGAAAAATAAATATCAAAGCCATGGTCTCAAGATTCTGTAAGAAACAATGATATAACAATAATTTATGTAAATCTTGTAACGAATGTTTAAGATCTTTATATATACAGGGAGGCTTTTCTAAGTGTGTCCGTTTTTTTTTAAATTCAATTCTAAACATTAATAATGTTATATAAAAAATGATAAATATTTAAAATCACTCGTAATTAATTAATTACATTCATTTTAACTTATCTCAAAAGTGCGTGATTTATGGGCAACTCATTTATTTTACGCGCGATCATTCATAACCAACACGCACACAAGTTCATTTCAAAAGTATACGACTCATTTATGGATGACTACCGCATTGTCAACAAGTTCTGTTTTTTAGGGAATAGAATGGCAATTTTTTGGAAAAAAAGTTTGTTTTTATTTCAATATACGATTATACTACCGAGTCTGAACCTCCCTTGTGAATGTGAACCTTCTGTCACGTACAGAAGGTCGTCACTGTATGTCACTGAACAACTAAACGGCTGGACCAATTTTAATGAAATTTTTTGAATGTGTTCAGGTGGATTCAAGAATGGTTTAGGTTCACATAGTTATCCAAAATATTTCAAATTTTTCGAAAACTTTCGAATTTAAGACGATTGTAAAGGACAATATCTGTCCAGTTTAATATAAAATTTGGAATGTAGTTCAATTTTGTATTACGGATTTCAGTTTTTGACTACTTTCTCAGCTGATGGCAAATAAAGTAATCCTTAGTAATCAGTCCACCGACTAATCTATCATACTGCCTGATTGCAAAAATCGGAATGGTGGATTTTTCTATTAATTCTTTCTATACACTTTCTTCTTTTAATGAATTTCGCTGCCCGAAGGTTGCCTGGAAGAGATCGCTGCCTAAGCGATAAATCCTCCTGTTATAACCGCGTGTTTTTTAATTACAAAAACTGTAATATCTCTTGGTGTACAATAAAGTATATTTTATTTTACTTTATAAATGACCACTGAATGTTCATATTATGCATTTCACTCTTTTTACGTAATTTTTACATTTCGGTTTACTGCCTGTTGTAGGAATGTTTGCTAATTATTTTCAAATGCAAAATATGTGATGTTTTTCTTTTAATAATTAAAGTATGTACACATGGAGCGATGATCTCGCACATAAATTATTGATTAAGTAAATTTTATATTTACACTTATAAGTGAATGATAAATAAACGTAAAATATGTATTAATTCGGTTTCTTTACGGCGTCAGAGAATAAGATTTGTCATGCCTTTAAAATGATAGCAGACTATCATTAATGTGGTGGAAAATTTGGTGGAAGTAATTATATTTGTCAAAAGTGCGGATGACGTTTCAATATTTAACTTTGCCTTCTTCAAGGCATTGAACATTAAAATCGGCAAGTAATGACAAAATAGGTAAAGAAAAACAGTAACAATGATTCATTGCATTCATTATTTTATGAGGGCTGAGGAATTTTATTTCGAAAGTCTTCGGTAATGGTATTGTTTGTTCCATTTGTTGAGTGTTTACGTTATCCCCATAGAAATGTTCCCCCGCGGTGAATGTAAACAATTGAGACGCGGCCATGGTTTTCAGATATTATTTGATTATATACACGTGCGAGATTTGTTCCATGTGTGTTGTGGTTGCGTCAGGGAAACTGG